TTATACGACTCAGAAAATAAATGAAATGTCATACATTTTACCATCTGTTTTGTTTTTCTCACAATAATAAATAGGAATAACAAAATGCAACAATGTCATTTTTCATTTCTTTACAAGGTTCTATATTGACGCTCACGCGATAAGATGATACTCATTATCATAAAGAATCAGTGTGACTGTATTGTCGATGCACATCAGTGGGATTATGTAGTGTATGGGCGTTTCAATCGGGAGCAAGCATCTGGGACTAGTGTGGGCACGAAGTGGAATGCCCGGATCAATTGCATGCAGATGCCTGCAACGGACTCTTGATTGCGTTACTTAACATCGATTAAGTGAATTGGGAGCGATAGTATAGATGATACGGACATGTGAACAGTTGTAAGTGGATCTCGTCAATTTATCGTCCCGTTTTGTTAATGGTAGTGCACTGTCAATGAAATTATGTATGAGAATGTTGATTAGATTTGTGTTTGGTTGTGTTTTATTACCTATAGACTATTAATATTTTTAGTACGTGTAATAGTCATGTATGCATGTTACCATGCCAATTGAAAGAGAAACTGTTTTCATATGGCATGTGTTGTAAATTCTGAGAGATAGATTAGAGAGATGCGTTTTTAAGAATCTCCTCACCGTCCCATTCTGATAGGAAGAGCCTATTGAAAGATACCTGTTACTACTATTGTAAGATTTGGCCAATCGGATCTCTTTCTCCTAATTCTTTGGTAAACATTTCTGCTATTAAAGAGTTTTGACTTTTAATCGTGAAAAAAATCACAATAGCCGTCTGTGACAATGACACAGAAACAGAAAGCTCTGTTTTAAAGACGACCTTCGCTTGTTTAATGACCGATAGTCAAGAACGCACAACGCTTGCCAAACCCCACTTTCAATAGTGTAAATATCTATACCAACATGATATAACAGGTCTATTTTAGATGATCTGACTCAGGAGAGTTACGGATCACCGATTGTTGAGGAGCAAGGTAATTCAGCAAGAGGAATAAATAAGGGAATGTAATGCTCACTTTTGTTCATCTTCATCTTCATTGTTCCATCGTTTCCTTCCAAATTCCAAAACTACCATAATTGCCGAATAGTATTACAGTATTAGGGTATCTGTATCGGCTAGACTTTTGAAATCAGAAGTAGTGTTCAAAATGAATTCCTTCATCAGTATCTTCTCATTCAACACAATAAATACAAAGACCACGAATAAACTAAATTACCTCTTCAAACGATTTAACCGAAGCGAAGACAGGAAAGCACCCGTTAACCGGTAGTTTCCTACTTCAACGTACCTAGATAGATATAAAACAATATATAACAAACTCAGAAGCAGCTCTACAAAGATGGTACCCGACACAATATAACAAAGAAATCAGTAAGCGCTGCTCACGAACCATATCAAGTCTATAAAAGTACAAGGATTACTAATCTAATGTACCCAATGAATCTCAACATGGAGTGAAAATACAGTAAAACCTTATGTGAAGGTACAGTACAGTTTATACTACAACTATAAAGGGTTGTGTGTAGACGATGGAGTTCCGTCCAGTGTCCAGTGGATAAACTTCATTCTAGGATTTTGAAAAAGATCTATCAATGGCTCAAAAACATAGAAAGTACTGGACGGCTGGGGAAAAAGATAATTTAGTAGTACATAATAGATCTTTTATAACTAAACTATACTGAATACCTCCCGAAGAGGATGAGTCCTCTATGATGCAGTTGAGTCAAGTCCATCAGACAAAGGTTCTTCTTCTTCTTCTTCTCTAGGCAAGTCCTAACAATAAGAAGGAAGAACAATGTTTAAAGTAATTCCTTATTTTAAACGTTAGATAGAAGCCCACAGAATATGTTTCCATATTGCATTTCCACGTATTTGAGACTACAAGGAACGTAAAGATGGAAATCGAAGACAAACGGAACTAGAGCAGTTTAGTGGCATCTATTACGTTCTTCATATTGCGTAATGTCCCTGACAAAGACAACTATGTGGGGACTCGGTTCTCCTTGGTTTTAGCTCATCATTGAATTTTCAACTTTATAGCTTTGATACAAAGATGAAAATCGGTATGACAATTGGAGTAGGTTGATGTGGTGATCTACCTACTGAGTATTCTGCTGCCTACTGAACCACGCGGAAATTACGCACTTAGATTTATTACTCACTCACCGCTGTTTACATTCATATCAACTGAACATCACAATTAAACATTCTAAACTAAGTAGGTAAGTACATATAAAAATCAAATACCAATTGTTAGAAAGCGTTTGCTTAGAACTTTCTTGTGTAATGCTAAATACACTTAACATGAATGCGAGAATATCATCAGAATATGACTTTTGAAAGTTATTTAACCACTCGAGTTTGAGTACGTGCCTACTTCAAACTCATTCCACATTTTGCAAGGAAAAGAATAAACTTTCCTCATCGTCCCATTAAAAACCTAGGTGAATTAAGTGTAAATCGTATGTTTAATGGACTAAGATAATATTTGCAGTAAAAGCTTTCAAGGTAAAATCACTGCAAATGGTAATGGGGTGTAAACCGTCTAGGTGTGTCCCATAGCCCATAGAATAGGTGTAGCTATATAGGCGAGGCATTTGTTCTAATGGGGCCGATCTGCGAACTGGGTCAGGCCAATGCCAGCGATAATGGAGCGAGGGTTATCGTCTCCCTATCTATTACCTACATACTATTTGCAAATCAGTTTCAATCCAGTCCCTCAAATAGTAGGAACTGGTTTACATGTTCTATACTTAGGTTCATAATTTAGGTACCACATTAGTAGTCTCTATGTAAAACCTTGGGTTAATCTCTTGAAATACCATTGGCTAATGCCTGATACCATTTCTAATTGCCTGTGTCGATACATTTTTGTTTACGCAATTTAAATACGCAAGGAAAAGCAAAACATTCAATCATAATATGCTTATTTTTGTTATAAATGGGCCATTACAGTGTAATTGCGCTCACGCATGATGGGCCAACAAATAAAAATAGTTGATACGCATACGACTAATGGACGAGCGGTTATTGATTGATTGCCCAAATCAAAAGGGAGCACAATACAGTCCCATTACCGTCGTCAGTTTCAATCCAGTTCATATAATACGTAATCGAACTACGCGTGATCCACAATCGATTTTGGTACCTGTTAGCCAACACGTCTAATTCTGGACCGAAACGTTACTGCAGTCAATCAAAATAGATTGTTCTTGCGAAATTTTTAATGTAAGCCATCGGTAAATTGTTACGACGGCTTTGATATTCAATTTATGTCTAATTCTTTAAAGAAACCTTTATGTATTGACATTTAAATTATTGTAGCAGCGATAGAAACCGGTCTCGCAGGAAGCTACTATCGTACTTATGTTTTTTTTTCTGTCTCGACTTCATGACACAAATAAATATGTTATTTACTTAATATACGGTAGAGAATTGCAATGCATAATCTTACTAAAATATTCTAAAATTGATGTCATAGTTAGATAAGTAAGTAAATAATTAAAATCATGTTAATTAAATCTAAATCAAAGCGTATCATCGATAGCAATCAAATTAAAAAAAAATGCCCGATCACATATTTTTTTTTATTTTTCGAGATAAAAAGGCGATATGATACTAGAATCACATTCGCCGACACATGTATGTAAATAAATAAGAACGTTACCCTGATCTAGATCTATAAATCTCCTCATTCAGAAAGACTAAAATAAATGGTTGTTACACATATAAATTCTTAGCGCCGTCTCTCCTAGAATAGATGGACGATGAAATCTTCGATTTTATTTTCTTGTTTTCGTCCAACTCATATTCATACAGAGTGGGTTTAATTTTGCAAACGTAATAGGTCGCAGTTCCTTTATGACTGAACAACAAAGAAAGACGTCTCGATCGTCGTATTTTGTGATCTACCAACCGTTGAAACAACATATGAAAAAATTGTAAAGCTACGGTGTTGGTCGTCTTAATGAGTAGGCACGTGTCACCAAACCAGAAATAGCCCCAAACACCAAGGAACCGATAACAGGCGGTTTGACGGTGTGACGGTGCGCCAGTGTCGCACTTTGGACGAGTTGCGAACGGAAGTCGCCGTAGAGCCAATGATGCAATGTTTTTACGGCTTTCCACTCGGTTTATGGCGCCAACACCGATATTTGTCTACACTTGTCATAAATATTAAACGTTATAACTTTGAAATGGATATTATTTTGTCTTAGAACTTAGAACTAAACACGATAGACAACGCAACTGCACTGTATATTTATTTATCATTCAGATCATAATTCCTTGTATGTGCATGCAAGCATGTACAATTGTGCAATGTACCAACATAATAAAAGACTGACTTTTAGATAAGCTTATATGAATTTTATTTCCAAGTCTCGAGCAAGGCCATGTCTTTTGTTGCTGGAAATATTTACTTGTACATAGACTGATATATGTATCAGTCTATGTACAAGTAAATATTGGATTACATATGTGTAATCCACACTGTAAATATACGTATCACGTCAACATACATTTCGTACATTCTTATGCGTCTAAACATTTAAATTTATGCGTGATGTCGCAACATTCGAATAGCAATGAGATAGAGTTGTTGTTATCTAATATTAGTGATATCCCAAACTTGTAGACCCGTAAGAGATCACTAAAGTCATTGGCGACGCGGAAGTAACGGGTCAAGCCAATGACGACCGCCCACGCCTTCGACTGTAGTTAGCTAGCTAGCTCATATTTACAAAACAATCAGCGAGATGGAGATAAAGCACCGACTGCAATAGGTTATACAATTCTCGTAGATTAGGCACTTAGTATGTTCTCGAAAAGAGCAAACATATCATAACAATGTGCATGTTATCAGGGAAAATAGAAACAAATACTGAAATCTTCATTTTCTCATGTTCTTTGTTTTGTTTCAGAGATGAGGCGGTGAGACCACATCACATAGTATTGAGACTTGAAGTAACATAGAACAAACACAATGAAGAGGTTACAGAAATTTTGTTACTGCGCATCGACGCGGACTGGCACGCTGATCACAGCGTTCCTTGGAATCGTGCTCTCTATAGCCACCATAATTATAGTATGGGTTGTAAAGAAGCATAGGATCACATTCAGCACATTCATCTTTGATGAAGACTTCGATAGGAAACTTTCAGACTTAGACAGTAAGTTCAAATTATTATTTACACAAAAAGTGGTAACAACCAAAATACACTATACCTACCATAATATAAGAAATCTTCATGCAATTATCTGACCATAAACGTAATGATAAATTATCGTTGTTTCAATGTGAATATTAACGTGAATACTCTAGAAAGACTACAATGAATGCTGAGACCCAGGAACATAATCATTTATGGAGCTCGTTAGTTAAATCTGATACACAATACCTATCAATCTATCGATAGCTAATTAATATGTGCACTAAAGCATCACCTGAATGATTGCTCCGTTCATGTTTTGGCATTGTAGTGTCTATGAATTTACTTGATTAGAATTTATAATGAGACTGACTTGGGTTACCTACCTCTAGCTGGTCATAACATAACATCACACCCCACCATACACCGAAGACGTAACCGGAGTGTAATGACCGCAAATTTTCGCTAGTGATGTCATTAATAGTCCCTATGTAAAAATGGACGAGGTTATTGCCAAGACCCAGACATAATTATGGCTTTCGTATTTTTACTATATATTATTTTGTATCTCTAGAAACCTCAAATACATTACCAGATCTGAGAGTTGGACCCAACATTTTGATATCTTCATATTTTATAACTATAGTTGCTCGTTGCGCTCACAACCAGTAATAAAATAGACTACGTTGGCGTATTTACTAATGATATTTCGTTTTTTTTTTCAGTTCCGAGGATAATATTAACAATTAATTTATGCTTCACCATACTGATATGCACGCTACTGATGATAGCAGTACATAAAGTAAGTAAATGGTTTTCTTATCACTTGTAGTCACTGCAGGTTGAATACGTAGATAGCCAACTAATTAACTTTTTATATTGCATGCAACTAACAGACGTCTTTTTCGGTAAGTTCATAGTATGTACTAATATGTAGTATAGTATCGTATAGCATTGTAATGGCTCATTCTTGGAAAATAGTTAACTTAAACATGTGTTGCAATACCTATGTTATTTACTTTGTATAGGATGTTGCTATCATGCATGAAAATATGATTTGTAGGTAACGCTTTAACAAGTAAAGTATTTTAATAGATTATGAGATGGAAGGGACATAAAATGAAATAGTGTTTGTACTGCAGGAAACCGTTAGTTTAATACCTATTATAAATCTTCATTATAATTTAGTCTATCATTTGTTTTAATTAATGTATTTAAGTTGTAGCGATAGGTTTTTAAAGGTAGGCGTATTCTTCAGGCTATACATGACACAATAAATAAATTCACCCTGTATGCTTAGACTTACTCTTTGTATGTTTAATTGGTTATGTCTTTGTCATTGTATGCGTGTGTGTCGCAATAATGTAACAGCATTACCTTACTGCGTAATTATTACTCATAAACTGTAAACTGCATGTATTATTAAACATTTTCCTTCATCGTAGTAGGTAGTAAATACTCCTGACTATTGTACTAAATTACCTAAATCAGAATATATTTTTTTGTTTTATAGCCCAGTAGGTTTGAAATATTCATTGAAATTTTTCCTTAGTTATAGGAATGTACCGTAAATGGCATAGCACAGTAGACATTTAAACAGTAGAGGGCTTCAAAGCTAGTCAATAGAGAATACTTCAAAAGGCATCAAGCTTTTGAAATTAAAGACTACCTACTCTTTAATTTCACAGATACTACAGAAGTCTTTACCCGTGAGAGAAGTAGAAAACCTTACTTCAACCACCCTGGTGTCACCCATCAACAACCTATAAAGAGCACCGGGTCCTTTAAATAGACCTTACTGCTCCTTCTAGACCATTTACCCCCTTAGGTGCCGGTGCTGAATATGCTCATGATTTACCTTTGTCCCAAAAAGTTAGACACCGTTTGGCTCTTCTCTCGTTATAAAATAAGGTATAGAAGTTCTAAACTAATTTTATTTACTTTTTGTAATACAGCGGCGGTCATGGCTAATGCTTCCGTGGGTAGTGCTGGGAATCGTGCTGGCCATCGGCCTTCTGATCAGCGTGCTGCATACCTCCATCACTTACTATCTCGACAAGGAAGACCACGTCATTCTCGCTACAATCATATTGATTGGTGGACTTCTATATTTATGTGAGTATTTTATTATGTAAATACATGTTTGAACTAAAGTATTTTGGTGAATTAAATAGTTCATCGTATGTCAAATTCTGCAGCTTACCTACATTTAAATAGAGAGAGAGACTAAAAAATTGTGATGAAATGTATTCACAATTTTTTAGTCGTACTTTCGTACCTTACCTTATTCTTATCTAGGTAGGTACTTTTCTTATGAATCATGACTTACACAATTTCTCCCTATTTTCCAGGTCTGTACCTCTACCTATGGGCAGTGGTGTTCAGTCATTACCTGGACGTCCGTGACGAAGAAGAACGAGGTCGATACAGAAAGGCTCCCTACAGACGATAAACAACCACCTACACTCAACTAGACTGCATAATATTCGAAAATCTCGTCACCATCTAATCTCAACACTTTTACTCGTAATATTTAGGGTTTAATGTAAGAAAAGAATTGTTTACCAACTAAGTACAATATCGTACAGATCGTAAACTACCTAGCAGTGCCTTATTTATCTAGATTATAAAATTAGGCACCTATTACATGCATAATGAAGTGTATAGTAGATATTTTTGTATTTTGATGAATTTTTAAAAGTGAATGTTAATAAATTATGAATAGGTACATCTAGATTACCTACATCGAAATGTCCTAGTGTTGGTGTGTGTTGAAAGCACAATAGGTACTTTTGTAGCGTATGTCTTGTCAACCTAACAAGTTTTATTATTTCACAGAAGGAATTAGATACATAGAGGAAATAGATACAGTCAGAAAAACTAGTTTTCTATTCCATGGATACCACACTATTTATAAGTGCCTTAATCAAATGTCATGTGGTGATAAAAAATAAGAATAATATAATTTTGAAACTACTTTCTATTTCCCTACCTACTTATTTAACATACTTAGGTATCTAACTACAACAAATTCATGATCAAGTTTAAACTTATAAATCTAGACTACCTAATTTATAAATATCAAATGATCTACTTACCAACGCCTCTAAAATTATAATAATGATAATAATGTTTTAGAACTTTACCTACCCAGGTACCTACTACATACAAGAAGATATCATATTACCAATTACGGTAAATAGTACTTGTCTAACATAATTTTCAGAGGTACCTGTCTCGTAATAGAGAATACAACTCTATAAATTGTTGATAACTTATTTTTATATTTATTTAACAAGTTTTAGATATAAAATATTGATTAAGTTTAAGAATTGATGTTTAATAAACTTTTAAGAATAATAAAGGTTTTTTTTGCGATATCGCTTACCTACTTACTATATTAGAAAAACCCCTTTTCCTGAATTATGACTAAAACACAACACCTATACCTAAATAGGTACCTACCTAAGTAAATGATTGACTGATTGATAAGGTTACCGACCGACAACTGAGTATTTTATGCATCCTACAAAGTTTTATATAATGTATAATGTGCATTATGTAGGCAGGTAATTTGGATAATAATAACAAAATATCATACTTTGTACATACGCATCAAAACCCCAACTGAAAGAAGTAAAGCGCAACTAAGTATATAGTGGCGCCGCCTATAACAAACTTTTTGTTCGTCTACTGACACTGACTAAATCGATTATGTACTTAATTATTTATTGTTAAGTCATTTATTCCTCTCTTCCACATTGTTTTTCCAAGTATTTGATGAAGTTAAATCTATTCAGTTACCATCTTTGCTCAAAATTGCGGAAAACAAAACGCGATTGCCAAAGTGAAGTCACAATTTCACAAAGTCTACTGGTACTGCCAAAGTCACAACAATATTGTCAATGTCAAACCAATTTAGTTATTGAGAGCCGCTGTGCGGACTGCGGACTTGTCGACTATGCGTAATATATTTATTTAAGCTGTTATTGTTGGCATACGTTACTATATATTCAACTACTGCTTCAGAAACATATCTGTTTAAAAAATGGAAATCTCATTTAAGGGGAAGAGAATACTCGTTACCGGTGCTGGCCAAGGTGAGTTTACGTTATCTCTTTATTGTTTAAATTTCTTGGTCATGTTGTAGCTGTTAATTTACATTATTGGAAACAACATAAAGTGTGTATGACTTTAGCTCGTAATGACGTTACAGTTAACATGCGTGGTATTTAACCACTGTTATTGTAAACTGCAGGTATTGGCCGGGGCATCGCCGTGGAGCTATGGCGTGCTGGAGCAAATATAGTTGCATTATCTCGAACAAGATCTCATTTGGAGTCGCTTCAGATTGAATATCCCTCAATAGATATTGTGGACGTCGATATTGAGGACTGGGACAAAACGCGTGAAGTGGTCGAGTCCCTTGGTCACTTTGATGCATTAGTAAACAACGCCGCGGTAGCTGTTTGCGAGCCTTTTCTCGATTGTTCACCTTCAGACTTTGATAAGTATGCAAAACAACTGTTCATTTTACTGAAATATAGGTACATATGTTCAGGCATGACTTAAATACTGATAACAAAGTATTAAAGTTATATAAAAGTATATAGCCAAATACCTACACAACTGAGTAACCAAACATGAATACATATTTAATTGGATTATACAGGTTGCTACATTATGCATTATGAACAATGTTATTTTTTCAGAATGTTTAATGTTAATGTAAAAGCAGTTCTTAATATTAGTCAAGTGGTAGCAAGGAAGATGGTAGAAAACAAAACTCATGGTGCCATTGTCAACATATCATCACAGGCTTCAAAGGTATTATCAATTCATTGAAATGGTTTACTTTATCTTCGAACAATCGGTGGGGCTTACACATGTAATCCTTATCTTTGATAAATATCTTGTTATTAAAATGTAAATACAAGTTTTACCTTATGAGATAAGCAAAAGTGAATAACACTGGCTGTGGTGTTTTATTTCAGTATCTAAGGGTAGTTTTAACAGTTTTAATGTATCTCCTATACAAATTTTCCTAGTCTGTCTTTCAACACAAACATTAATAATTCTATGATCACCATGTTATAATTCTTTTGATTTCAGGCTGCATTGAAAGACCATGCTATTTACTGTGCATCTAAAGCAGCTTTGGATGCTCTTACTCGTTCCATGGCTCTTGAGCTGGGACCTTACGGTATTAGAGTGAATACAGTTAACCCTACTGTCATAATGACAGAAATGGCCAAAGTGGGATGGTCAGATCCAGACAAAGCTAAAGAAATGCTTTCTAAAATTCCTTTGGGAAGGTAATGAACCATATACCTAATATTTAATTATATTTAAACATCTTCATTTCTGTAGTATATTTGACATTTGGTTGAACACTAATCTCTGAAAAAATATTGGTTTAAAACTTCATGGTTTGACTAATAGAAGCCGAGCAGCAAATGAGAATCATGCAGGACTGGTTTACTTGTATTAAACCATTTAACTTACCTCTACTGTGTTATCAGTCTTATGTTTCAAGCTATAACAATACAACTTTATTTTACACTAACGTAAACAACTTGTGACATGTGATTACATCATTTTAACCCTAATTTTATATACTTACATATAAACAGATAAGTGTTATCAGTACTTACAATGAATTTGTTATCCAATTTCAGGTTTGGTGAAGTTTCTGAAGTGGTGAATGCTGTAGTTTTTCTCTTGAGTGAAAGATCTAGTATGATCAACGGAGTCCAGCTGCCTATTGATGGGGGTTTCCTTGCCACATAATGTTATAAATTGCTGAACATATAAATCTACCAAAAAGCAAGAGTAAATATGTTTGTGGCTTTCAATATGAAATATTTTTAACAATTGCATATTTTAGTCTTAAGTGTATTAAATTTTGATCTATGTTTATTAGCAAATCAACCAAAGATGGTACTTTAAATACAAATAGCCATGATTATAGTTATCATGTTTGTTTTATGTTGTGATAATATTATTTATTATCAATTTTGATATTATTGACTTTTCTGCAATAAATCTAATAATAACCAATTAACTGTAGATCTTATAAATATGTTACACATGGGAAATATTATCTACTTTTTAATTGTATCTTAAAAGATCTGTTTGATAATACTTTGTATCATTTTGTTATCATTGTGATTATTATATTTTGTCAGTGTCTAAACTTAGACTAACATAATTGATGAATAATAAAATGAATATTACACAAACCTAATTATTTGAGACTATTATTATGCAATAATAATATTCTATTACAAAGAGTATATAAACAAAAGTTATTACTTAGCAATTATTAAAATCTGATGACTTGAAAATAGCTAGGTATTATTTTTTTAGTACCAGCAAAAACTTGTGATTATGAATTAATATTGGACAAGACATTAAACCTACTAATGATTTAACGCTTGCATAATGCATTTATATACCTGATTCATAAATACTAATTACTAATGTAAAAGTTATAATGTTGAATAAATGCAATTTGTTAAAAATGGATGGTTATTTTTTTCTGTTTATAAGGAGTAGAGATTGATTTTAGTGTTATTTTTTATTATCGCCGTTATAAATAGGTGACACAAATCTATTACATTAATATTTGTGATTTAGAACGATGATAGTTTTTCAAATCTAGTTTTAATGTTAGTAATTGATTATCTTATTTCGTTAAAATCGTAAACAAACTTCTTATCTAAATTATACATAAATGGTATGGTATACGTGCCATTTAGATAACCCTGGCCTTATCAAATACGATAGGAACTTTAAAAATATTTTCAGTATACTGTGATTATTTATAATTCTGAAGTAAGTCGAACTACATACTTAAGAACTAGTGTCCGTACAACATATTATTTAAAAGTTCTCAAATAATGGATAAATATTTTAAAGGAAAAAGGATACTTGTTACTGGAGGATGTCAAGGTAAAATTTTCAAATACCAAAATAACTCGTGTTACTCATTGATTATTAAATATATTTAATATGTTGTAATACAATATTTATAGGTATTGGACGTGGAATAGCTTTAGAATTATGGAGGCAAGGTTCAAATGTTGTCGTTATTTCAAATCAACGCGATAATTTAGAAAATCTAAAAAAAGAATATCCTACTATTGACGTAGTGTGCGTTGACCTAGCAGACTGGGACAAAACCAGGGAAGCTGTAGATTCTTTAGGTGTCTTCGAAGGACTCGTCAACAATGCTGGAGTAGCTATAACTGCACCATTTTTTGAATGCTCTCCAGAAAGCTTCGACAGGTGATCCAAACTCAGATATTTTTTTAAAACATGGTGACAAAGATACAGTTTTTAAAGCCGTTACTATTTTTACAGGACAATGGCAGTAAATGTAAAGTCTATTCTTAATATTAGTCAAATTGTGGCAAAGAAAATGGTTGATAACAAAATAAAAGGATCTATTGTAAATATTTCATCACAGGCTTCTAAAGTAAGTTTGAAAAAAACCTTATAGATTCATATCTGTTTATAAAAACCCAGGTATCTACTTAATTAGTATTAAGTACCTACTTATAGGTATGTAGGTAAGGTACGTAGGAAGTTCTCCTTGCATCTTTCTTTAACTATTTTACAGAGTGCTCTAAAGGACCACACTGCATACTGTGCCTCAAAAAGTGCCGTTGACTCTTTAACAAGAGTAATGGCCTTAGAACTGGGACCACATGGAATTCGTATCAACACTGTTAATCCAACAGTTATAATGACAGATCTGGGGCGCAAGGTCTGGTTCTCAGATCCGTCAAATGCGGAGGCTATGCTTTTGAAGATACCTTTGGGAAGGTAAGTTTCTTTTATTACAATCATTTCTTAAGATTATGAAATATATTCGTAATTTAAGTCAAATACTTCCTTATCAGACTCACAAAAGTTTTAGGTCTTGATTATATGATAATTTAAAATTTGGTATGCTTCACTAAAATTAATTTACTTTTTAGGTTTGGAGAGGTACACGAAGTTGTCAATACAGTTCTGTTCCTCCTGAGTGACGCCGCCAGTATGATCACGGGAGTCCATCTGCCAGTGGACGGAGGATACCTAGCTACATAGAATTTTAAAATTATATTAAATGTGTCTAAATCATTACAAGAAAACAAAGTGTTATTTTACTCAGTTTATTGTGCCAAAGGAATTTATACATACTGGACATAGAAAACAATGCAAGCATAACAATTTATTTATAATGCATATGCTAAAGATAGCTAGCACATTATGTATTTGTAGTGAAAACATACCACTTGTGAAGGTAAATAATGGCATAGAATGGTTAGACAGTTTTAAGCCTTGTTGTTAATATAATAATAGTGCATATTATTCGCCACTGGAGGGAACAAAACCTGTGGTCACTTAAATTTAAATTATACCCAATCAAAGCAGATGTTTTTCTACGTCTTTTCTTCATTCTAAATCTACTATGTAAAGTGTGTTCCCTCCTTCAAACAGGACTAACTGAATGAATACTAACAGGCAACTTCTGATCTCAAAGACATCGTAATGTATCGTATGGTTCGAGAATCGTGACATGTCTACAAAAAATACAATAACAGCAAAATAACTTCAATGACATTATCGCTACAACAGTTATGTATGTATTTATTCCATTACCTAGAATATTGTAAAAAACAGTGTGTCTGCTTATCTAATTATCTTAAAAATATTATTATTTACAAAATTAAGTCCATAAAGTCTTTCGTCGTTTATAGCGTACACTTAACTTTAGGAGCAAGCTACGACTTTCCTCCGCCAAAGCATTTGAGATACACGTTGCGCACTTCACACACTGACGACAAGCACAGGACAATACAGCACGGCCGCGCCTCGGCTCCACGCATCACTTACTATTCACGACATCGTCGCCTCCATATATTTGAACACGAAAACATCATCTAATATACATTAATTAATATAAATTCATAAGAATTAGTAACACAATATCATCAAAATATTTGGGTACTAACATATTACGAATTCTCCTAAATGAAGGAATTAACTAAAACACACTCGTATTGTAAACATTAAAAATATAATGATATCAATGTTGGCACAGCGTTGAAAAGTAAGACGACTGTCACTTCCACTTGTGAATCAAATCTTGTAACTGTCTATAAAACAAATTTAAACAGAAAACTGAAATTCTCAAAATGCTACAAAATACCCTGTAGATCTAATTAATATTGGATTCAAACTTAAAATAATGTGCAATAATACAAAACTGAACAATAGATGATGGCTACAATATCAACAATACAAAGTCATACTCTCAAGTGCCTGATCGTAAAAATAATATTTAGATGATTTATTCTAAACTAAACCCCTATCTATCTTACTATACAATATCATGACAACAGGATGATTCTGAAATCTCAAAGCTTTGCGATACAAACCCTTGAAATGAAATTGGATATATTAACCATTAAGTATTTATTTACATAAGATTGAACCTAATTCTCAGTCATATTAAGAGGTGTCATTGTTTAAATAAGATACGGTCCAATATAATATCACTTTATAAAAAAATCATATTACTTTTTAAACTTTTATATTTACAAACTATTCATCATAATCATAATATTAACAGAGAATAGGACATATCTATTACTCTGCAGTTCAAGGCAAATGAACAAAACCACACTTTTTCAGAATATGAGAATTGGTAACAGGTTTAATTGAACTAGGTACATTATGTATGAGAAAATTTGGTAATTTACATGAGATCATAGATTCCCAGCAGTTCTAGATCGGTAATAAGGATAACATAGAGGTCAGCAATAGCTCTAGCGGGAATGTAGGTATACGTCTACATGAACGTGATACTACAAAATAAGAAATCAGGTTTTATTTCTACACTTCTTTAAATTAGTCAATGCAATACTCCACAAAGAAACTGAACAAAAACTTATGAGTGCAATGTTTTCTCCGGCCAATTTATTTTCGAATAAACTTACCTAGTTAAAACTATGGCAGTGGCTGGACATACATTGTTAGACTATCATTACTTAGGCCGCCTATCCACAATCAGAGGAACAATCAAGAGACACATGAAATTTAACAATCATAATCAATTGATTGATCAAAAACAAGAAATCTATTACATCAATTGGTTCAACAACAATCACTCTCTATGCTGACTTTGCTTTAGACAGACGACCTATACGTCACATTCACTTATATTACTTCCTTCAGCATAAAACAAAGATGTTGGTTATATTTCAACTCAACTTGGAAGACAAAATGCTAAATTCAATAAAAATAAATTGAAAAAAAGTTTGGTAAAGATCAAAGATACTATATTGCACGAAATAGTGTTGAATAAAAGATAAGCATTATCAATAAAGACCTTTTTGATTATTATTAAAGCCCATTGATAGGATAAATTAGTCAAAATATGGTTCCACAAAAAATATCGGCCATCCTAATAGGAAGGACAACAAACTAACTAAAAAACATTCTTTCTAATACCATGTACCAAATAAGAATAGCCTTTTTGGCAGTTACAATTCCAAAACTGTAGTCAAACAACTATCCGATTCATAATTCGTAATATTTAGTTTTGTATTCCTTTCATTTAACAAAAATGTTGGACCATTCTATGAAACGCTTAACTTTCAAGAATCAGTGATCACTTGGAATACAGTTTGTTATAGTTGTTGGAATGCTACAGTAAAATTGTCAAATCAGATGGTACATGGCAATATCACTTTTTATTGTTTTAACTTATGGCTATTTTAATTGTGCTATGATGAACATATCCCATAAGCCAAATCTTCACTAAGTGGGATCACTAAGCTTGTCAGAATAGTGCTTTATTTTTAATTCACCGTCTCATGACCGATTTTCTTGGGACCAATTGACAAATTACTGTTTAATCTTACCAATATGATAGAATATGTATCTTACTTCTAAATATAACTGAGCATAAAGTACAACGATGCATGGGTAGGCCTATCAATTAACTCTATGCTTAAACAAGTGTTATTCAAACAAATAACTTCATTTCACGGCCCACTCATCATCATACTTAGTCTATAATTAAATAATTTACAATAATATGAATGTTAACACGAATGCATACAAAATTGTTTCCTTATTTTAATACAGAATCTATTATCTCGAAACGTGTTAACGTCCAAAGACGTTTCACGCTCACGCCTCAATTCCTACCGCGCGGTTCGATGACGTGATAAGTCGTCGTTAAAACACACCGTCAAATACGTGAATATATCGAGTCTGTGTAATGTTCGTCCATACGAACAGAACATGCAAGTCACAATACGAACGTGGTTCCATTTAGGTGGTGTTAACACTGCGACGACAGGAAGGTCCCTCACCGCCACTCCGAGATGGCCGCTACAGTGGTGCTGGGCTGCCCGGCCGCGCCCGCCGCTGTACACGTACGTTACACGTTAGTCTAGTACCAATCAACACTTGCTGCCGACACGCCCACCCGATATGTATTGACAAATATCTCCAGAAACATCTCTCCAGTGAGTGAACTCAAATTACTTACTGTTCTCTTGTTCCTGATTTTGTTCATGACGTCTTAACGTGCGGTCAGTGCCACCTGATTGGTAATTACCACGTTGACCACCTGAAAACATGAAAAATGAAATGAGTAAAAAATACGTCATTTATAATATTCAATTCAAAGTATATTAATGTTAAATGTTACTTACCAAATTTGAGCATGTTCCAATCAAACACATAGTCATATGTGAATCCTTGTCGATGGAAGAGTGTGCGGAATAGTTGACGGAGATGACTGTAGTCAGGTCTCTCCTCGAAACGTAGCCGCCGGCAATACTTTAGATACAGTTGGAACTCGATAGGGTGGTTCTGTAATAATATAAGTCATTAATGAGCACTTCATATAACAAACCAAAATATGTACTAAGTACAATATTTTTCTATAAAACTTACTTTGCAAAGTTCATCAAAAGGTGTGGACAATTTCTTTTCAGATATTCTCTCGTATTTCTGGCGTTTGGTAGCAGCTTTCAGCCCTTGCCAGGGAAGACTTCCACGATTGAAATACATGAGTACATAGCCCAATGACTCCAGATCATCGCGTCGTGATTGTTCGATGCCTAAATGTGTGTTTATCGATGCGTATCTCGCTGTTCCTATAACGTTTACATTGATCCATTAGTTTTAATATAAATCTCAAACATTATGGGATAAATAACATTTATGTAGAGACAGTTAGTATACAAATACTTGTAAGATTGCCTCTTTGAAAGAGACAAACATGCTTTTTAGCTTTCAGCAACTGTGTTTTCAGAAATGATGAAATATAATGAAGATATCAACATGTCATCCAATTTTGGTTACAGCAATTGCTGAATTGATCTAACAAAGCAACAAAAGAGATATTGTGATTCAGTTGTTGAAATATTTACACAAAGTATGAAATACATGCAACATTTACTATATAATCGTATTGCCTGTTGCATTGACAAGTAACAATATCAATGAAAATTATGATGTCATTTTAAAAAGAATGCATAATGCATACAACTGAGAAAATTGCATACACATAAAACAGGAATTTATGCTGTACTGAGTAAATCAGGTTGTAAACCATTTGAATATTATAATCAACTTTATATCTTACCTGTTAAGTTTTTGTTTTCTCTGTATGGAATATGTTGCAATGTGCGTGCATCTTTGTACTTTTTCGCTAAGCCAAAATCTATTATGTACACTAAATTCCCTTTTTTACCTAGGCCCATAAGAAAGTTATCTGGTTTTATATCCCTGTAATGGAAAGAAAAACACAATATTTAATACATTAAGAATATGCAAAATTTACATTGAGACAGTGTACTGTAAAGTTGTATAATTTACTTGATTAGATTTACAAGCATACAATCAACGTCAGTGATAAATGCAAAGTAATGAGCTATGTAAACAGGTAGTTATTATCTTTTACCCTTCCAGCTGACCTGCAACAAGTATCTATATCTGTCCTTATTACTGCAGATAGTCCAGATTCATTATCTTTATACAAGTAAGTATGGTCTCAATCAAATAAAAAATTGCAATGTAATTATTACTTTAACTGTTGTTTTCACAAAAAACTAAGACATTTCTAGGTAACATACTCGACAGTGAAGGTCATTGTTATAAGCCATATTATTTAAATGGATGATAGTTCGAAGACAGATAGCATTATTATTTATTTTCTATCTCTTATTCTTTAGGTTTAAGAGAATAAGAATAAAAGAAATAATTATTTATGATTCTACACATCATAAATATTCATTCGGGAAGTATAATGTAGAAGCAGTAAAGTCATATTTGTTACCTATGAATGAAGTTCCTGTAATGTATGTCTTCAATGCGTGTGATGAGTTGATCAGCAAGAAGTAGAACAGTCTTGAGGGAGAAACGACGTGAGCAGAAGTTAAACAGGTCTTCCAAAGAGGGTCCAAGCAGTTCCATTACCATTACATTGTAGTCTCCTTCTGAGCCGCACCATTTTATTGCAGGTATACCAACTGTTAACAACAAATAAATGATAGATTATTGTGGTAGTGATATTCTTACATGATTTTTTCTTTATATTTCATTTTCCTTAAGCACTAAAACCACACCCGCACTTTGGTTTACATGATTTTACATAGAAATTAGTTAAGGGATTACAAAAACTTTAGATTTGATAAACATACAGTTCCTACAAACATTGCAATGCAGAAATTCATTGATTAAAGAGAAACTAAATATGATTTGTAAATCAATGTAATTAGTTAAAAACAATAAAGACTTTTTAGTCTTTAACAAACAAACAAACAGAATCTATGATCAGTTGATTCAATGAAATATGCAGTAACTTACAAGCACAAATACTAAATAGAATAATTTACATAGGTTATTCAATAACATTCATCACAGGCATTACATTACCTGAATACATAAGACATAAATATTTTCATAAAAACATGACTGAGATGAATAATAGATACACAAACATTTATCTGATTGCTATAGTATGTGAAAATATGTATTTCAAACTCAATTTATTTCATCCTATAGACTACACTGTTGCTAAACCACATAATGAACATTATTATTATAACTGAAATTACTCACCACCTCCTTGCATAAGTTTGTAAAACTTGCTCTCTATGTGTAATTGAGGGTGCCTTGTCTTTATACATTCTAATTTAATAGCTACCTCCTCTTTGGTGACAATATTAGTTCCTGAAAAGCAGAAATAGCATCTTATACAACCAAGACAGACCAAGACGAATCAGCCCAATCAAACATTGTGAAACATGAAACTGAGAACTTGACAGAATCAAGGCTGCCCCTGTACATGTTCTTTGACCATTTAAGTGGGTAACTACACAAAAAAGGCGTAGAAGCAGTACTACGGATTCAATAGTCAATCACATGTTATCGTCAGACTTTGACTAACACATAAAAATAATAAGCCACTTTACAACCTAACATTAGCTAATAAGAAACACTCGAGATCAGTTACTAACAATAGGCCACTGATATAAAAAGATATGCTAGCTATTTCGAAACGAAAAAAACTGCAGCTGGCCTACCAAATGACCACTTTTCTTTGTTTACTATAATCTCTCAACACACTTACCAAGATAAATGTCTCCAAAAGATCCTGAGCCAATTTTACGGCCCAGCCGGTATTTATTACCGACTCGAAGCTCCATTTTGGTATTTAGCATACAATGAAATCACAATAATATTACTGGCCACCAAATCATTACAGGACGGCCATATTGCGATAGACGCAGAATGTATCTAAGTGAAGTATGTAACTTAATTTGGGTGGAATTGGTTACAAACTGTGTTTTCTTGCAAGCTCTATTCGTTTATTACTTGTATATTCAACTTTAAATCACGTATAAAGTTTCTTACACAAAATTGCTCTAAAATTGATCTAATCTAACTACACACGCACATGAGGATTTTTTTCGTAGACAATCAGTTGGTGGAACTGGGTGATAGAGCTCTCCTCTCTCGCTTCGCTACTAGCAATCGAGTAGAATCGAGAATATTATGGTAAGAATCGATTCAACTCTTGATACTAAAAATAATGTTGGCAACACTTTTCTAAATAGTCGATTTTTCACATATGTGATTACAACTCAAAAATGTTTTAATTTAAACATTATTCATACACATAAATTAAGAAAACTTGTAAAGTGAATATCTTGTGATTAAAATATTCAAATATTTATCGGAGTCAACTCGATGTTGAGTTAGAAATCAAAACAGTTCTGTGACATATTTGAATACTTTATTGTTCTTAATTATTATCAAAAACCACAAAAAAATCGTTTTCATATTTATATCTTCTTGGAATTTCAATTTTGAAAACAAATTTGCAAGTAATTTTAAAAACTTAATTAGTATTAATCAGATTGTGCATGCCAATGTTACATTAGTGCCATCTGGTGAGCACAAAAACATTCGCTATAAATGTGATTATTATGAACGCCCTGAGAGAATAATTCATTTATAAACTACATTTAAAAAACCGACATCAATCCCTCTTTTTTTTAAGTAAGGTAACCTACTTAGGTGATCTGAACAGTGTATGTTTGTAATATTAAAATATCCGTTTTTTACTACATGCATATGAATATTCATACGATACCTACACATACCAACATACATTTTTTATAATTTTTGTCTGTCTGTCTGTACTGGCTAATCTCTGGAATGGCTTGACCAATTTTGACGGGACTTTTATTGGCAGGTAGCTGATGAGCTCAGGAGTAACCTAAGCTACTTTTATTTTGGAAAATTGAAACAAAAAGTTATGTCCTAAAATTCATATTCTACGCGGACGAAGTCGCGGGCAATAGCTAGTTATTAATATACTGAAACTTGCTTCTAAGTGCATCAAACACTTTTTTGAAAATTGAATCAATAACGGTTTAGTCAGTCGTGAGATAATCGCGCACAAATATAATAATATGTATGTATATAACGTATTTTTTTTTAGGGCGGTAGAATGATCGAATAACTGCCCCCGCCTGGGTGAGGCGGAAGGGAGTGTCAGACTCTTACTGACTAAAAATCACTCAGTTCCTTCTCCTGCACGTCGAGCCGGAGCCCCGGTTATCCGTTAGGTTCTTCGCGACATGTATATATAACGTATAACATGACAAAAAAATAAATAAACAGTGAAAGGTCTAGATAATCTAAACACAATCGCATTAGACTTGCCTAGTCACTGTCTAATATCACTAGGCATGGTCAACACGTGCATGGTAACGCGAGGCCTACCTACGTGAAAACGTGAATGCAAAGTTCAACAAATAATCCATAAAGGTATTTTAATTTTAAAATACATCTACACCAACATCAACCAACCTATTCCACCAACATTAACATATCTAGTTCAATAGTACATTTTGGCGCCCCTTTGTAACTGGCACTGGCATCCCTAAGACAAACAAGGCAGGTCTCCTCTACATACTTATGAGGCTTTCTTATAAATTCCAGGCATGGCAGGTGATTGAGAGACTACGGTCTAAAGACCCCTTAGTCGGCTCCAAAACATAAAATAGGTGTAACAGAGATTTTTACTAAATTCAGTAGGCTGTGGGACCATGAGTTAACTTTCAGTGGTCAGCAAGATTGAAATTGTTGACAGTCTAGAAGTAGGTATTTATTTGACAACGTATTGTTAGCATTAGAAAGCCATTATATATGTATGTATGTTGTGAGTATCAGTATGATGTGTATAAAACGATAATGATTACACCTATATATGCATATAGGTCTAGATATGAGACCCATATATGTATATAAGTCTCATATCTAATCATAATCGTTGTATTTTAGCATCAACCCACATTAGGACTTTCTCCTGTGACGTAGGTCCGTAAATAAATAAACAATATGCAGATTCGTAGGTAGGCATCTACCTATGTTGTGGATCACAATCACACAATGATTTTATCCCTTCGTTAATCGAACCTGTACGTCATTATGAAAGGTATGTTTGTGTCTTGTGTTATGCTTACACGTAGACATGGGAAAGGCATGCAGGTGTACTTCATTGTATAAGCATGTGTTTTGCCGAGTGAGTGAAATTACTAGAGACCAGTGGCATAGTATAAAGAACAAAGTAGGTTATCTTCATACAAATGCTCCGCGCGCGGCTTATATGTGTGCGCCATAGTATCTATGCGTCGACGCACGCACACTTTAACAAAATCTCGACCCGTTTCTCAGTGCGCCAGGCAGGGCTAACACTGCACGAGGTTCGCGCGCGCATCACTTTTCGGCACTGTTAAATGAAATAAAAAATGTCTGATAACCGTAGAAGAACGTATTGCTGTGTGTTTGGGTGTCTTAATAATTAATCGATTCCAGAACTGTCTCTGTTCAGATTACCTATTGAACAGGAAAGGTAAGCTAGTCACTTTTTCTAGCATAATATAATTTGTAGGTACTTGATGATGAGATACCTACTTACTTATTCTTACTCTTATCATTCTTCATAGTTCCTACTCAACCAGAAATTTAATTACCTACTATACTTAAATATTATAAGAAAATGTGGTATTGTATTGTTTATTTCACAGTTTATCTGATTTGTTAAGAGCGTAGCCGTGTCGCATTATTCCATATAAATGTATTCCCAAATTTACTTTCTGAATACTATGTATAGAGCTAAAGTTTATTTTAAGAAGTTAATAATCTTTTTATAAGCTTTTTATTTTTACTAAATTTATAAATTGATAAAATATTCAATCATAATATGCTTTTCATTTCATAAATTTAGATCAAGTGCTGCTTGTTCGAAAATATTAACTAAAAGTAAAAGTGACAACCCTGGGGATCAACGCAAGAGTAGGCTAATAACTCGGCGGGCGGCCTTAGATAACCTACTGTATATATTTATACTGTGCCAGTGGAGACGCCTCCTCTCCTCCGCCATGTGGCTGGCAACGCATTCTGGTCTTGCAGGAGTCTTTTAATATTATTCTTATAGCCTTTTACTTCTTTGATTTAGTAGGGGGCAGTTAAAGTTAAATTAGTAAACTCGAGATGAAACATTTTTTATCTTTATCAATTATTTTTGGAATAACATTACAATAAATAAACACAAGTATAATGTTCTCGCAGATATAATTGTCATATAATTTAATCACAAATTGTTTGCATAAAATACAATAAAAAAAACATTTGCACATTTTATAACTACTAGATACATCATATAGCTAAGTCATAATGACTGTAAAAATGCTTAATAAACAAGTTTGCTAAATACTTATTCATCAAAATGGTTTTTCCAACATTCTCATTAATTTATAGATAGGTAAATGTACTTACAAAAAATATGTACCTATTTTCATTATAAACTAAACTTAAATAAACTCAAAGGTAGGTAGGTAACTATAAGTTGAGATTTCATTAATTACAATAATAACATATTTATTATAACATCAAAGATCGTCGAATAACGATATCTTTATGTAGGTAAAGCCAAACGAAAATTGCAAGCATAACGAATATCTGATAACATTTTAATACATACATAGTTCATCAAAAAATTTATAAAGTTGAATTGACTGTTTACCTGTAGACAGAATTAGTTTATTCCATAGTAATTGATAGTAGGTAAAAGTATACATAGATACACAAAAGCAACATCTGTATAGGGCAAAGGTAAGCGGTCGTTTTGGCACCATGAGAAAATTGAATTTACCAAAGGTAAACTATTACTGAGTTTATATTTTATAAGCTCAAACATTTCACTACTTCTCTGAGATCTGAATGCGTGTTAGTAGTTTGATTTTAACTAGTCACCCTTTTTCACTTTTATACAAAACAAGCATCTTTGAAATTATATTTAAAAATATCAATTTGCTAGTTGTTACCCGATTACATAGGTATATAGATTTCTTGTTTTACTACATTTTTGTTATTATACTTCGTCATAGAAACGATTATATTAATTTCATTCATCACATCAATTTGGCTACTAATCTTGTTCTTTTTTTGTTTTTTTTTTCATAATGACTTTTTAATAATTTGCTTAAATAACGATTACATAATAATATTTAACATCTAGCAATTAATTCGTACCATTGGTCTTTGGGTGTCAATGTTCCTACAGGTATCGAGTTATGTCTTCGTAGCATCAGCTTGCATAATACTTTTTAATGAACCGACTTTATCAAAATTATTTTCTCTGGCCGTATCTTATTTGATTAAACGCTTAACTCGCTTCTTATTACTTTTGTTCTTTACCTCAGTATATCCTTTAGCCCCTTACGTAATCAGGCACTTAGGTACATACGTACCCACATATTATTTTAGATCGGGGGCTACAACTCTACAAGTGATATATGCCACAAATACTTTTAGCGAACAGGTTCTACCTATTGCAAAAATAATACTTAAAATATTTTTTGCATATCAAGAATACTAATAAAATATAATTAAGTATAATATGGACACATACTAAGACGATGCACGATGTATGCATAAGTTCATCATTCCTTTGTTTGTTTGTTCACGTCGATACAGTTGGAGAGCGGGCGGTGGACACGAGGGAGGCGAGGCGAGGACTAGTACGTCTTTGTCAGAGGCAACTTCTGGAGCCAGGGCTGGAGTCTTCTCGGTCCTGATCACTTGGCACGTTATTGTTTTGTTCCTGGTCTCGATTTAACACGAACACAGGCTCTACATTCTCGTCGTCACTATTAAATCTGGAATTGAAATAAAGGTACTTTATTCCTGAGCTAAAGTTTCCTATTGTGAGGAGATGGGTAAATTGACAAGGTATAATTTGGTAACTTATCAAATAAACGGAAGGAAAAATCTTTCGGAAACTCAAACCACTTAGAAACCTATTTACAACAATTCTGGGAGTAGGTATTATAGTAATATGATTACAAATGACAATAAAGTTTTACTATCTCCGAACAATAGGGAGTTTATTATAGTACAACTAACTATAATATTATTTATTCTTTTATTAAGTAGGTTATAACTTCTAAGGATAAAGTGTGAAAAATACTTACTGGTATCGTGGTACTTCACCCCTCATTGTGCATATTGCATTAGTTAGGGCCTTTACATAATTTTTGGCTAAAGTAAGAGTTTCAATTTTTGATAAACTCCTGTTGTCTTTCTTGACGTGTGGTATTACTCGTCGGAGATCCTAGAATGTAAATGAAACTAAGTCAAGCCAAAATGCTTATTATAAGTGAATGTCAACTAAGATAGTTTTATTGGATTATGATTAATGTTTACCTCAAATGCTCTGTTCAGAGAGTGCATTCTCATTCGTTCTCTTTCATTACTTTCGAGCCTACGTAGGTTGCGCTCTCGCGCTGAGATACCGCATCGTCGTCGTCGGCCGGGGCCCGTGGGCCCGGTACTGCTGGCTGCTGATGACGACGACCCGGCCGCAGCCCGCCGCGGCCGGCTCACGCGGCGCACAACTTGCTCATCACTACCGCTACCGCTGTCGTAAAAATCTGAAATTACGTAATTATTTCTCCATTAAACAGACATCCTAAAGATGTTAAGCACGTCGAGCCAGAAATTGCAAATAATCTAAAATTGAAAATTGTATACCAAATTAATGTATGTTAGATAATAATTAACAGGGAGTGAAATACAACTATTATTTTTGGACACAAATACATATATAATAATAAAATGTAATAGAGATAAGCTACGTAATAAAGAAAGTAAAACGTGGGCGTGACTTTATTAAAATAAGCTGTTGTGTGCATTGCATACGTCACTGCAGCAGCTAAACGTTAGTACATTCTCCGTCACGAACGGTTGGCAACCGCGAGCTGGCAGCGACACGATACCGAAGTGAGAACACTTAAACATTTGTGCAACAAGTCAGCTGCTCTGTACAAAACTTGGGCATTACGTGACGCCGCTGCACGCTTGATAAACTATTTGCGTAAGAGCGCGAGTGCAGACTAATCGATTTGAACGCACGGCTACGGGTAATTTTCGTAATGCCCTTATCTGCTTCGTGCTTTCCGGCGGTTGTACGTATTATAATAATAAATTAAAATTCAATATCCATGTAGATTAGTTTTATTTTATCAGTACCTGGGTAGTGGTCATAGGCATTCTTACGTTTTATCTGAGTATGCAGTTTATATAATGCCTAGTTATTTTCTCCAGAGTGTGCAATACTAAGTAATGAACTATTATGCACTACTATTCAGCTTTATTGTACAGTTCTAATACACACACGTCCATTAAATGTAAGAGTGAAAGGAATGTCTGCGCGCGGTATTTATTTTGTCAAATGTCACTAAGATTGTCCTTTTCATAATATGTATTTATGAGGTGAGAACTAAATCCGAACTATTTGTTTGATAATGACTTTATTGATCTTACCTCCAGCTTGTTCAATTTTATCAGCAATGTCAGGTTTATTATCGTAGTACTCGGAGGTTTCGTCTTCGAAGTACAACATCACTTGGTCGGGTGACTCGGCTTCTGAGCCTCCACCCTCCGCACTCGCCCACTGGGGCATTTTTAAGTCTGGAACAAGAAAAAATATTTTAAGCTTATATAGGGTAAACAGGAGTGTTATTGCCCACCGACAGTTATTGCCCATTTTTAGATTTTTTAAAATAAAAAGACAATTATTGACTTTTTATTTTGAGAAGTATTCACTAGAGGGCACTGTTATTAATTTATGGTAGATTTTAAATCAAACTATTGCAACACTGGAAGAAAAAAAGTCAGTAATGGCGGATTTGTAAAAACAAGTGAACGTGTTACTCAATCAGGTAAGCATTTTATCAATTTTCTTAAGGAATTACTTGCTAAAAAACATTTTTTAGGACATTTGAATGGTACCTATTCGACTGTTCTTACATAATTACGATAAAATTGTGATTAACTTTAGTATTGAATGTAAATCTAATTTGAATATTAAATTCTAACGGTTATTTTAGAGGTGGGCAATCACTGTATCGATTTTTTATTGTTTTCAGTTATTGCCCATCATTTTTTTAGTAATTGCCATAGGTTAATATTTATAGTTATTGCCCGGGCAATTAATGTCATACTTATATTTTGAGTTAAGTAGTATTGCCAATATGACATGAATAGTGTTACATTTCGCAATTTCTTTACATAAACAGGTGCTAATTATATTTCATTACTTTCAGAATGCCAAAGACACCCAAAGTTCAGTATAGTAAAGAAAATTTACAAAAAGCAATTGATACAGTTCAAGATGTTAACAATAAGCTATCTACGAGGCAAATCGCCGAAAAATACGGCGTTCCGAGGTCCAGTCTTCGGTACTATATTAAACATCCGGGCCACAAAACCAGCTTAGGGCCATCACCTGTACTAACTATTTCAGAAGAAAATAGTTTAGAAGACTGGATAATCATTTCAGCAAGAAAGGGATTTCCGCGTAACAAAGAGGACATATTGGATACCGTCCAAAAGTTTCTAATAGAAAACCCGCGTCCAAACTCATTTTTGAATAATAGGCCAGGTGACGGTTGGTGGAAGGCCTTTTTAAAACGACATCCTAGATTGGCAACCAGAACTTCAGAAGGTGTGACAAAGGCCAGTGCATGTGTCAAAGAGTATAATAAGTATAGGGGTAAAGAGTTGCCACTCGTCAAAATTTATGCCAATCAATTTGAAACGCCATCTGAAAATTGAATCCAAGTATATTTTTTTTTTACTAATGTCTACAGATAATCCTAAGTATAGCTAATGCCAATACTACCAACAATGCACCTTGCAGGTTGGTACATTGAAGGTAGTATTGGAATTAGCTATGTCTGGTAGCTGCAAAATCAAAGAAGTTATTAATTACAATATTACATTTATTTTACAGTAAATACAAATTAACATTTAAAAATTATCAGCTAGTAGGGAAATATCAGACGACAGATTTGTTCAAAGTATAATTCAAATTTTAGTTCTTTTTAATTTTATGTTTAAAAATTTCAGATATAAATATGTCGTTCAAAATTTATTTGAATTAGTTATTTTTTTAATTATTGATCCCACAAAGAACTAAAATTAAAAATATTTACTGTTCACCGTTGTTTACACAGTACCTAACAGTAGTTAACAATCTAATGATATAAATTAACCGTAATACCTACACAAATGTAGTACATTTTACCATCGATTTAAATCGCTTACAGTATTTACAAAAACACAAAATTATTATACAATTTACATAACATAACATAAATAACATCACGCCTTTTTATCCCCGAAGGGGTAGACAGAGGTGCACATTTCGGCACTCAATGCCACTGTACAATGTAACACTCACTTTACACTATTTATGTTTAACTATTTAAGTCCCATGTAATAGGGGGTGAGCCTATTGCCATATACCGGGCACATTTCCAGACTACTCTACTACTACTGAGATTTTTTTAAAACCCAGTAATACTTTGCCCGACCCGGGTATCGAACCCGAGACCCCTTGCCCGGCAGTCGCACTTATTATTATAATGTCGAAAAATATATTGCTTAAAAATAAGTCTCAGTCTGCCTCTCAGTCAGTGTCAGTTTTTTAGTACTTTTTTTGCTAGTTGCTAATAATGCCTGACTTAGTCGTTTCCTATATCTAGTTATATTACAGTCATTTTTACTAAACAACTACAGATTTTTCCTATCCTCAAATATATTATTTTTATAACATTATAATGAAACAAAGTAATATTATTATTATAAATACAAATGAAAATGAAACAGGCAAAATAATGTGGGAAATCCCAATTCAGACAGACTTCACAGTTGCCCACAACAGACCGGACATAATATACACAAACAAAACATCCAACACCACATACCTCTTTGACATAACTGTACCATGTAACTACAACATAGGAGCAAAAGAAATTCAGTAAATACCACTTTTTAAAGACACAACTCAAGGCTAGACGCCTTGAAATATTGAAACGCATGTTAATTCTATAGTAATTGGAGCCACAGGAGTAGGTACTAGCCAAAAGCCTCAGCAGATACACAGACAAACTAGAAACATAAATAGACATTAGCCACCATTCACACAATAATCATTCTTAGCAAAGTACTAGGAGACACAGTTTTCGTCACATACATTCCAGATTCCGATCAATTACAACCATCTCAAGCGCAAACACCACATACCACTCAGTCAACCATCACATGAAGCTCACAATCCACATCTGGCACACAAACTACACCCAGTTAGTAGTCAAGTAGTCAGCAGAAGAGAAAGAAGGAGATTTATAAGTCAAATTTAGAAGGGGCTATGAGCATCGTTTTTCCTGCGGGTTGCGGGAAGCGGTGCCCATTTTCACCAGGTCAAGCCCAAGAAGGAGAGACCTCTACATATATGAATACAAATAAGTAAAACCTAGAATAATGCTGCTACTCCACGATAGCGATGAAAAAGAATTTTTTGATGCCCTAAGGTAACATTTTTTTTAAAGTGTGAATATGTACCTATTTTAGTTTATTTATAATTTAATATTACTTTGTTGTGCGTAGGTACTTAAAATGTTGTTCTAATTATGATATATACATTAATACATAGAGCAACACGGGCCACCGGCGGACCATTAATACAAAGATAAAAATAGTTTTACAAAAATAATACGGCTTTAATATTTGCAGCGATCTATGGGTTTCTTGTTTCTTGAGACAACAATATACGTCTGAATGTTAGAATAATTCCAAATAGTACCTGAAAAAAAAACAAAGATTATTTTTACATGCAGAAATATGTATTTTATTTATTTGTTTTCTTTTATTTATCTAAGGTAGGTGTACCTTACGTGATATTACTGATGTTACAATAATAATATAGTATTTACCATCTCTAAAATAGGTTTCAAGCACTGCTGGTATAGATCGGCACTTTATCCGGACATCGTAAGACTCGTAACTGCCGATAAAAAATTGCACTATTGATATTCTGCAATGATGATGCTGAAGTAATATCGATGCAATAGCAATTCCAAATATCACTGTAACAAATATACAAAAGAAAAAGTAGAATTTTATAAAAACTACATAGTTTGGTATCTCAATGAATCAAATAAAATGTATAAATAGGTTCAATAGCAAAAATTATAAACTTGTTGTAGGTTTTACCTTCAGCAACATGATTGTATTCTTCGTATTGATGTTCTTTATTATAAATAAGATATATACGCAAATTAAAGCGTTCCTTTGTAAAATCAAGTCCAATGAATAGACAAACAAACACAATGTACTTTTGTGATTTGTGATACACATGTATACAAAAGGTCCTTTATAGAAAACACAACACGCATCGCAGAACTTCCTTTTTTAGAAAAACAATCACAAAATCCCATCACAATTATTAAATAATTTAAAATATTTTTGGCAAAAATTTTTACAATTTTGACATTTCAAATTTTTGTTTTTGTTTCTTTTCTTTATCAAGCAAAAAGTATACATATTATATGCCAGTATTAAAATAGTACAAACTACATGCATACTATTTTATAAAATAAGGAGATAATATAAAAAGTATTTAACATCAATATCTAATTATTAACAATATTATTTTAATAGTTATTTATTATCTAAATAATTTGGAAAATTATTATTGTAATGTTTTAATATTTTTTTAGCCCCAGCGTTGCCGTAAAAAATAATAATTTGACAATCCATATAGTACAAGAGCCTATGAACCCCAGACCTTTGTTATTTACACATAACGGACTTAAAAAAAGGAAAAGTTATATACCTATAAGGTTTTTTTATGTTCCTTCAGGGATGACTTCGTCGTTTTTTAACGTATTTTGATGATTCTTTTTTAACCGACTTTAAAAAAGGAGTATCAGTTTGATCTAAATGTATATACATATGTTACAGCCAAAGTGATTAATTTGATATTATTCGTAATGACTAGTAATTAATCAATTAATGACTAGCTATTATGAATAATATCTTCGAAAACTTGGATCAAATGGAAATGAACAGGGCTGACGTCTGCACAAAATTTTGAATTTATCGTCATGGGTGTCGTTTTCATGGTTTTCGAGGGTGATAAAGCCGATGGTCCTGTCAAATTGTAAATCCAAGATGGCGTGCGCACAACATTTTTCAATTTATCGTCATGGGTGTCATTTTCATGGTTTTCGAGTGTGATAAAACCGATGGTGTTGTCAAAATGTAAATCCAAGATGGCGTCTGCACAAAATTTTGAATATATCGTCATGGGTGTCCTTTTCATGGTTTTCGAGGGTGATAAAACCGATGGTGTTGTCAAAATGTAAATCCAAGATGGCGTCTGCACAAAATTTTGAATGTATCGTCATGGGTGTCGTTCTCATGGTTTTCGAGGGTGATAAAGCCGATGGTGCTGTCAAAATGCAAATCCAAGATGGCGGCTGTACGAAATTTTCAATTTATCGTCATGGGTGTCGTTTTCATGGTTTTCGAGGGTGATAAAGCCGATGGTGTTGTCAAAATGTAAATCCAAGATGGCGTCTGCACAAAATTTTGAATTTATTGTCATGAGTATCGTTTCATGGTTTTCGAGGGTGGTAACAAAGATGGTG